GGTAGTTACTAGAAAAACAGTGTGGAGCTCAGTGGACTCACAAATTCTTTTTGATGCAATATACAGCCTACTGTTGCTTAGCAAAGAAAACACAGTTGAAAGATCTTCCAGTCAGAAAATGCCGTACCTAAGCCACATATTTTTAATCGCTCCTCATAGCTACAGAACATAAGTTGTTCTTGTCCTTCTAGGGGATGCTGCAACAGTCAGAGACAAGAAACAAAGAACAAGGATAAGTAGTCTTATTTCTCTCCCTCTTACTGAGAGCAAGAACTCGCGAGCTGCAGATTTGAGGACAACTTCTTATGGAGTGATGTCATAAGGCTGAGCTTACTGGCATCCAAAAAACAATGAAATTCAACTGAGGATCCTTCCACAGTTAGGGCATTCAATACAACTCCCTCACACATATTCTTCTGTTTCCTAAGATTGAGTTTACGTTACAGCTATTTTTCAAAAGCACCGGGTAAGACCTTCCTTTTACTTTCAAAAAACATCCAAAAAATTACTACTTCTCTGATTGCAACCACTCTGTCAAAGCTAGCTAGTATTACTGGTCTGTTCTTTCTTACCTAATTCCAGTGCATACACTTCACTTTCTTAGGAAATCATGCTGAAAACAAAAGTTACTACCCAACTTCATGCCCTCCTCTTTGACCAGTACTTTTCATGTCTTATTCATTAGAAACCCAGAGCACCACAAACTAAGCAGAGCTAACTGACTGGTACACGCTGGGGCTAAGCACTGTCACCACAGCTAAAGGCAAGTGTCTTCACATGCTACTCAATTCCACCAACCAGTTTTGGAAGAAACTTACAGAACTGCTGTAAAGCCACTCATGCATCTATGTTTAGAATCAAAAAAATCTATGTATCTGAAAATTTGTTGTTTTATAATTTGGAATCACAGTATCCTTAGAGTTGGAAGGGACCTCTGAAGGCCATCTAATCCAACTTCCCTGCAATGAACAGGGACACCACATCTACATCAGGTTGCCCAGGGCCTGATCCAGCCTCACCGTGAAAGTCTCCAGGGACAGGGCATCAACTACATCTGTGGGCAACATGTTCCAATGCCTCACAACCCTCAGTGTAAAAAGCTTTTTCCTTATATCCAACTTAAATCTGCTCTCATTGAGCTTGAAACCATTTATCCTTGTTCTATCACCACAAACCCTGATAAAGATTCTGTCACCTTCTATCCTGTAGCTCCCCTTTATATACTGAAAGGCAGCTATCAGGACACCTCACAGCCTTCTCTTCTTCAGGCGGAACAGCCCCAGCTCTCTCAGCCATCCTCATAGGAGAGGTGTTCCATTCTGTGGAATTTGCTCATTAGTATTTGATGGTATAACCTTCATTCTCTTCCCTCATTCCATTTTTGCAAAGATACACTGCTCAATATCTGGAGAACTGCAGAGGATCTCCTGCTACAACACTACACACAGCCACAAACAGCCAACTTTGTGTTTTGTTTACATAATGACTGTTGCACACAGCCAAGGTCAGTTTTTGGACGCATCAAATAACAGATCCCTGGGACTACAGTTTACAGCCCAGCTAACCGATACTTTCTTTTTCTGATGGGTACAAATGGAATGAGCCCTAGTTTTACTATTCAGATATCTTTGTTTAGAAAGAGCAATGTTATGTCTGGAAATTTAATAAAAATAAAGCCTTTCTTGTTGTTGAATCAGACATCATATAGCTAGTTTGAAGATAATAAGATGTTAAGAAGAACTAAATGATGAAGGCCACTAGCATAGAAAAGATTTGAGTGGCTCAAAGGAAATGCAGGTCCCTGAGAACTGAGATCACTGCCATGTGCGCTTCAGAAAAGTCCAGACACCAAGCAAGGCTGTTGTCCTATCATATAAACAAACGCCTTAATGGGGAAATTAATTCTGCCCTGGACAGAACAACAGAAAAAAAAGGCTGGAGGACTGACATAATAACACACACCAAGCTGATATACTGAGACACAGTTAAACTGCAATTTTCCTGACAATCTGAAGCCATGTGTTCTTGACTTAGTAAGAACAAAGTATGTTGGACTCAACACACCTGTGCTGGTACCTTCAAGATCAACTGATTCTAGGAAGGTATCATCTGAGCAGATCATAAGGATTTTACCTTGATACTCTGGTAGGCAACTGCGTAGTTCACGCACTTTAGATCAACGATCATAGTCCAAGATTCTAAAAAGACTACAAATTACTTCTAGTAGAAACTTTGACTTGAGTGAAAGTGAAGGTTATGTCAGCAAGAAAAAAGAGAATACTGCTTAGGTTACAGCAGCTTTTTTCTTTATTTTTAAGTCTTGGATCATGAGAAAACAGAAAACTATTCTCCCTGTCCTTATGGTAATGAAATAGCAGCAAGAATAGGTAGTTATTTTTTCAATTAAAAAAAAATCCTTGCAACTGAATTTGTTATTGTGCTCATAACATTCTATGAGTCTTGAAGGTTTTAAGTGGTCAGATCACTTTCACGCTACTTTTGCATTTGCATTTATCTTTCCTAAGGAAACAGAGACTGGTTCAGCGGAGACTGGTTTCTGACTTTCTTCTTTCTGGGGCTGGAAAACACTGAATATAAGCATTCTCTTCTGAAATTTCACCAACACAAACTGCCACACGCTACCAAGTTCTTAAGCATTCATACTGCCCAGGAAGATTTCAGTCATATTTGGCAGATCTCAGCTCTTCGTGGTTTTATTCAATTCTTACTCTGGAAGCATTGCTGATGTTGGATTTACTTCTCAAAAAACCTTCAGCTTCAACAGTCTGGGCTTATAGCATAACAATATCAACACTTATACTGGATCTTACTCCGAATCTGCAAAACTAACTGAATTCAAGGAATGCTATAGATTCAACTACCAGTTTTAAAAACATTTTTTAAATCACTACTTTTTCTGTTTTTGCCATTGCACCAGTTGTCTGCTTATCTCCAAGATCAACATTGAAATCACACTGCCATATAGATCCAGAAACATGCTGAGATGCAAACCGAGGGCCTGTTATCTGAGATAATGGGACATTGAGAACTCCCTGTCTTCCAAGAGCAGACTTCATTGCCTCAATGATGTCTATAAGCATACACAGAGAACTAGGTCAGTTTACATGGAGAAGAGATCATCTGCGACAGTAGAACTACATGGAGCCTTTTAAACTAGATCAGATCGTTTCTTATCCGGCTCTACAGCCTATGAAGCAGATGCATGGAAAGTCACACTAGACTTTTTTTTAACTTACATTTGTTACATACTCTTAACAGAGTCTGAATCTGCCTACTCAGTTTTTGCCACGTGCAAGCCATCTGATATCCACCCACACAAAGCATCCAATGATTTCTTTTTCTCCCCAATGGGAGCAGTGATTGCAATTCCACAATGCTGCCACAGAGGTCAGTCATATCGCTTTCAAGTCAAGCAGATCTTGAACAGTGAAAGGAGATAAACACCTGTCAAGCTTCATAGGAGAGAGACAGGGGATACATTACCCTCTGCACGAACATTTCCCATACAGAAGCAGCTGCAAATCAAATTAACAAGGGGCACACGCATCAAGGTATGCTTCAGACTAAGAGCTTGTTCCCTGTCACTCCCTAAGTATCATAACTTCAAGGAATCTTTTTAAGTTTATGCTTGCCAACAGTAAAAAACTCTTTGGGTTTAGCTAAGTTGAGGAATGCTGTCAGTTGAGGTTTGCTTAACACACATTTTGGTGTGGACTTTGGGGCATTTGATGTGCTGCTGTCCAAATTCATGCTTCCTCTTCTGAGCTGGCTTTAGAAGGCACTTCAGAAACAGACACAAATGAGGTCAGGCACGCAATCTGTAATACCTGACAGAGAGGCACATTTGATTTAAAAGTAAGAAATGACTCCTCTGATCTAACAGTCTTAGCAAAAAGCCTTCTGACTTCTCATACTCTGAGTGTCTGGAAAACACTCATTCTTAAGAAGCAGACTACCAATGAGAACCATAAATGCATACACGTTTGCCAATAGGGTTCTGTTTTGTTCTGTTAGCCACTGTCTCCTGTGGGTTCTAAGACTTCCAAAGCTAGTCCAGACAGGAAGCATGAGAAGAAAGGCTGACGGCCCGAGAGGAGCACAGAAGCATCATTTTACCTCACACAGCTCAGAGAAGCACAGTCAGATTTCTCAACTTTGAGACTCCCCGGTGGGAGAAAGGAGTCTTTGGCGTTTATCTGCCACACACTGCGAGGAGTCACCAAGAAGCACCCAGCACGCTGAGCACAACCTTTGCACAGCCACCTGCGGTATGCTGTTGGGACTCCCGGCCGAGGCCCCTCAGCTCCGTAATGCCGTCCCACAGCGGCGACTCGTTCCAAGCGAGGCAGGGCGGCCGCGGGGCGTGCGGGACGGCGTGCGGCCCGGAGCCCGGGAGTTCAGCCCCTCCCCGCCCGCAGCCTTTCCCCCGCTCCCCTACGACTACAACACCGCGGCCGGGGGGACGGCGCGCGCCTGCGGGGCCGAGGACTTGCAGCCGCCGCCCCGCCCCTCAGCGCCGACGGCCATCCGGGAGCCCCGCGCCCTCCCGTTCCCGTGCCGGTCCCCCCGCCCCAAGGTACCTTGCGGCCG